TAAGAGAAGCCTATTCGAGGCTGCCGCCGAATGCTGCGGATATAAACGGGTTGGCCTGCCGCCTGGAGGTGAGCAAAGATCTTCATGGTGGACACGAAAGGTACAACTTGCAGTCAAAGAGACGAAAGCAGCGTTCCAGAAATGATTTGCAAACAAGGAGTCATCTACACGCGTCCGACACGTCGAGGCACGCAAGGCGGCAGCCATAGCAGTGGCAAAAGACAACGCTGATTCCTGGGAGAAGTTCGGTGAGGTGTTGGAGTCGAATTTCCACACGGCAAACAAAGTATTCTAGCAGACCACCAGCCGGCTCTGAGGTGAACCCTCTTACCAAGGATGATGACATTCTTCGGCGATGGAAAGAGGATTTTGAGGAACTCTTAAAATCCGGCAGCAGCAGGAGGACTCGACTGTAGAGCAAAAGGGCAGGGATTTTACTTTGTCTGTAGACGAAATTGCACAAGCTGTGAAATGCTTGAAAAATGGAAAAGCTGCTGGAATTGACGAAATCCGCCCGTAGATGCTCAAGGCATTAGGCGAGCAAGGCTCGATTAACCTGAACGTGAAGAAGATGAAGCCTCGTCAGTCTTGGAAGAAGTTACAGCACTTTTAGTCTCAATGCCACGTTTTGAAGACTGTCAAACAGGCGAGGCGATCGAGTGGCTGGAGATCGACAAGATTGACCTCGGCTGCCAGATACTGAATGGTGCAGTTTCTCAACGCTGCAACCAATATCGAGACTCTTGCAGATGACGACGACGCTGAAGACCTCGACAACGAAGATTTGCCGGGCGATCCACGCTGACCGACGCATTTAATGCTTTAGAGACTGCTATTAGTTGGATAGAAAAAACAACCGGAGTGCAAAATCACTCAACGTGCCTTTCATCGAGGTGTTGGAGACTTAGTTTACAAAACATTAAGCATAAATCTTGTTCTAAATGGAATGAAACGTTGTTTCAATAATTAATTATAATACTTCATGTGATCTGAAGTATATTGCTGTAGGCATATTTTCTAGGTTTTCACTAGTGTAGTTTTTTCCTTTGTTTCTTTCTAGTTCTTCAATAAAACAGTCATAGTAGGCTGTATTAATATCTTTACATGTATGTTTAAACTTGCTGAACTGAAGATGCCAGGTTCGCTCTGGGATTCGAAAATCCGCAGAAGTCGATAATCCGAGCGGGGTCAAACCACAATTAGACTTCATTATCGACGATCTACTGAATTCATATATCGCTGAATAAGATTTGAGGATGCTGTCTCAAACAGGTCTCTATGAAATGATAAAATTATCTTTGAGAAGCAACAGCTCAGGAATGACCATTCTGTAGTTGAATAAAGAAAAACGCTTTTTTTGGAATTAACTTCACTAGCAATGTATCTGCTTTGTATTCGTCTAAACTCTGTTGCAAAATGCAACTCCAGCTGACCTATTTTTCCACAGAGACTTTAGATGTTCATCTCTTAAAGGACAGAGGAATCCTAGTTCAGGATTAATTTAAGAGCTTTTTTCTCCACCGTTCAAGGCAATAGTACATTGACACTTTGTACAGACCATCACACCATCAGGTCTGTCAAGTTGAATTTCAATCCTTTCGCCATCACATTAGAAAAAATAGAGGTATAATATGCCCTTTCTGACATGACAGCACCAGAACATCAAGCTGTTCCTATTGCTCGAAGGTCCACTTCTTGCTAAATGAAACGCAGTTAGCTAAACTTCATGTTCAGTCAAATATACGGTCAGTTAAAGCCGATTTCACACTTTCCAAACTACCAAAAAATATTCTGTTTCACCAGTATGCAATTTTCTTAATTAAAAGCTCCTGTTTTGGTTGTTCGCTTAGTAACTCTGTCGTAGTGTGGAAATTTCAGAAGCAGTCGATTCTGATGGATTAAATTGCATAAGTTATGAACAACAAAACTTTGTCATTTATTTGTTTAATTTCTAGGATGGTTCTGTGTTCCTTAGAGAAAAGCTGCATGGCTCCCCCTCAGTCAAACATTGAATGCAAATTCAAAGGAACTTTCGTTGACCACGTCAAACGATGCCACCGCTTCGATCAATCGGCTTTGAACCTGCTTTTAGCGAATAGATTTCATTACAACCCTAAATATTACAGCAGGAACATGAATTATTTCTATGACGTTCGAAGATATCAGAAAACACTTTCTCATCCCAAAAAGTGTTTTTCATGAGAAAGCAATATGAGGTCTCCTTAGCGCACTCTGTTATCATTTTATGTATTGATTGAAACTTTGCTTTATTCATTAATGAACATTTCAAGAAACATTTTGTCTCAAATGATGAGTTGCAGTGCAGCGCCACGAACTCCAAATATTAACTATGTATGAACACACGTTATGGTCAATCACGTAGATCAGTCATCGCACATTATTTGTTAAAATAAATCAATCAGCACAACTGCGAATGTATAATCCAGAGATCAACGATTTAACTGTTGGTCACACCACATGTTTTACATTTTTCGTAAGCAAGTAAACCACTTTATGTGAATGAACAGCATAACAACATGCTATACATGTAAAAAGACAGTTTATGCCTTTCAATTGGTTGACGGGATGCAATTGTGAATTAACACCGTACCATTTGTTCATGAAACCATGTGCAGTTGAATGACACTGACCTGACAACGGTTAAAAAGATTGATTTCTTTTTCATTATATAATTGTATTCGATTGATATATGGAGAGAACCAATTTGCAGTATTACATGTCATGCGTTTTCTCCTAATTTAGGTGCTCATTTTTTCCATCATGCTACCATGAAGTTTGTGAGTCAGTGAAACGAGATCAACTGATGAGGCATTCTGCATGATTGATTTAAAATTATTTTCATCGGTGTGATTTGTGCCGCTTTGAAACATCCAGTTAACTTCATAGAGGGAAACACGAAAATCGTTTTAAACCAGATACATCATTTGATGATGCAGAAAGTGCGCCGCTGAAGGGAGCAAGCCCAGCGAAAAAAAAGTCTGGCTATGAACCGTCAGAAGGCTTTAATGAATTGAGCCACCTGTCCTTCATTATCTTTCGATATAGCGGCTCCGTCATCATCAGCGTTGCTATGGGCCCCATAGGTTTTTGGTGATATGTTGCAGACTGAGAAATGTCGTTGATTAGAATTTGCATAATGCCTTCTGGCAATTATGGTAGCAGCAGCAGGGCGACGGTTGGCTAAGATCCACAAGCAGAAAACGAAGATACTAGAAAGCAACGGAGAGGCATCCCCTTCTGTGAGGATGCAGACCCTGATGCGTTGTTACAGCAAGTCAGATGTGCGGGGGCAATGCCATCACTCAGAGCCCATAATGAGGAATTGGCATAGCCATACATTCAAGAGGGAAAGGATTGAGCTACTGCATGAGGGCGATAGGCATCGATTCCGTATAAACGGATTCCTCACAATGAAACCCTTTGTCTCTGGAATTTCAAACGCCTTTAAGGAGCCTGTTTTATACACGTGTCGACTTAAAGAAATGCGCATAGAGCAGTACACCTGGATGAAAGAATCATTGAATAGAACCCTGTAGGTGGAAGAATGGCAATTCCCGACAGAAGCTAAAGAGTTTAAGGCACTGACTAGTTACACATAAATGAGCCTGATTCCGCTGAGTAGAAATATTCCTCCTGAGGAAACCAGAAGGACCTATGTCCAAGTATTGACTAAGAACTTAATGTTCGTATAAGCGATTGCAGAGCTGACGCTAGAAATTCAAAGGTGTGATAGGAAAGAACCACCCTTTCGACCTCAAAAGTAGCGTTGCAGTTTTGAACAAATAACGCGGTGTCTGTCATAAACAAGTTCTTTAAACTACGAAGCGTCACTCAGTATTCCTTGTACAAAGAAATCGATTTTCGATTTCACATTCATATCCTTTGACCAATGATGTTCTGAAAGGATGTTTGCGTTAAGAGTTGTTAAGCGATCATTATAAATGGTGGATCACATGCGTAGACTTCCAGCCAAAAGATTCCAGGGAATAGAATGGGAAACATAACTTTTTGAGGAGAGGAGGCAAAACTTTCAAAGAACATGTAGCCATGATCTAAACAGATGGCTGCGATGACTCTCATGTATAAACCTGAATTGAGCCTCTATAAAAGCGTCTTAGTCTTT